CATACAAAATTACAAAAATGAAATTAAACTAATAATAAAATCAATTTAAATTTAAATCATGAAATATGCAATTAATTACGTAAATTTATTAGAATTAATGCAGAAAAAATTGTATCAAAAATTTATATTTTTTAAGAAGAAAAAAAAATCATACATTTAGAAAATTTTCCAATTATTATTATTTAATTATAACTTAATTCAATCTATAATAAAATTATTACATTACATTAATACGTTTAAATCTCTTGCAATATAAAAATGACGAATGACAGAAAAAAAACTTTTTTTTATATATATTTACGAAATATCCGTTTGTTTTTATACAAATAGGTGTTATTGGATACAATCCAGTTTTGGGGGATGCAATTTCCGATATTTATATATAAATTTATATAACAGTGGAATTATCCTCAAAATGTACACTATTTGTTTCATTTGATACATTTGCGCTGTTAAAATTTGAATTCACATTTAAACGGTGTTACATTTCAAACAAACACTTTACAAAATACCATCCGCATTTAAACAATCATTTTGTACATTTTTTTTTCAATTGAATATCCATTTTCAATATTTTTATTATGTAATTTCTCTCACAAACTCATTGCTTGCACAATAATTTGAAATAAACTCGTTTTAGGTCTATTTTTTCTATATTAATTAGTCGATACAACACTATAATTTGTATAATTGCAACAACAAAATTGTGTGTTTTCAATTTGTTGTTACAACTACATTTTCTTCGCTAATTTATTTAATGAGCATCGACAAATAATAATCGAGTATTCAAAACATATTATTCGAATAATATTATTCACTTTATACAAAAAAAAGAAATTATGATAAATTTGTATACAAAATACACAATAAGTTGAATTTTATATACTAAAGCGTTTTTAATAGAAAAATGTTAATAAGAAAAATTATATATATTTTTTTGCAATTATTTCATCTATAAATTATAACAAATTATAAAAATTATTTACATTTTGTACAGTGATTTATATAATTACAACAAAATAAAAATGAAAACTATTTCCAATTAAGATAAAAATAAAAAATTCAGTTGCTTTTTTTGAAAATATTATTAATAATAATTTAAAAAAAACACGTTAAATCTAAAAAAATATGTATTTAAACAAGTTGTTAGAAATTATGTAAAAATATTTTACTTTTGTATTCAGTTTGTATACAGCAGTGTTTCCCAACTTTTAAACAATAAAATTCATGATTAAGTTAAATTATTATATAAATTTTGTATATATTTATTTAGATTAAAAAATGGAATTAAACGTACAAAAAATATTATTTTTTTACAAAAATTACAACTTTAAAACAGTAAAATTAATTATTAGAAACGCATCAATTATATCCAATTCAATGTGTATCATATTTCTAGAAGATTCACATATTAAGATAACAATTTTGTAGATTAATGTATGTGATAAAAGAGTCTAATGTCAATATTTTTGTGTCTATTGATAATTAATGCATCAGGAGATTTCATATAAATTTTCTGGAATATTAGATAATATTCATAACAAATGCGAGAGATGTGCGTTGGAGAGAAGAAAACACATCGTTGATTAGAATCGTGTGCACGAATGGGATTGTTTATAGAAAACTGTGAAGTTCGGATGCGGCAAATACAGTAAACAATATTTTTCGATTTCAAATGCACATGCTTATTTTGTAGTTCAGCGGTTCGCGATTAGTGCTTTTATTGGATGCTAATGAGCAGATTCAAGTATTCTCCATAGAAGTCAAATAGTTCAGTCTTTTTGGTAAAACAACAGCAAAAGTGCAAATCCGATCAGAGCAGAAACAATGAATAATACCGAAGGTGAGCTAATCTGCGCAACAAACAAAAAAAAATCGCACTTGAGAAACGAACAATAGAAAATTATTCATCGCATTACCAAAAAAAAAAAAACCAAAGACATTTTTGCATTCTCAAATTTGTATTCTCTTCACTATTCGGTTCTAATTCACGCCGTGCTTTGCATTGTTACTGTTTTTTTTTTCGGTTTATTCCATTATCGAATTCAAAACAAATGTCAATGAAAATTTTTTGGAACAACAAGGATGTTTACATTGAAACTTAATTGCATAAAATTTCTATAAATATTTGTTTTCAACAGATTAAGCAAATTTAAAATAAAATTATTTTGGGATTTTTTTTTAAATTTATATATTTGCATTTATTAATCGAGATGAAAAATAATAATATTTACTTCCTGCTTTCGTTTATAATTTTTCTTTTGTTCGTTCTGCTGCGTTTCGCAAAACTATTGCGCTGATTAAGATGAGTTTAGTAGAAATAACATGAACTGAGACTTTTAATTAGTTTCACTACATTTCTAGTATCTAATTAAAAACATGCATCGATGTATCAAAATGTTTACTAGAAGTGGACGTGATAACGTAATTAAAATTAGATTTCGTGCTGTTATGTAACTCGCCGGCAATTATTCATATCGCGAGCTTTCGACGACAAAAACAATTGTAATGAATCAAACGTCTCATCACCAATAAAATATGCCGTATTCCCATGCTTAAATTAACGAAATTCTTAAAAATTTAATTATAATTTTTTGTTTATGATGATTAATTAAAAAAACTGTTATCGATTTCGTTTGGTAAGCGATATTCGAAGAAGTGTCCATTCGAACTAATGTACATCATAAATAAACATTTGGATTCTATTTATAATCAAATAGTCGGTCAGCAGAAATAAAAGAAAAATAAATGCGAGTAGGATGCGAAGTTCGCAAATCAAAACATAAAATCGGCTAGTTTCTTCGCTCAATCTTATCTAATGAAAATAGAAACATTTCGCTCCGATTTGTGAAAAAGATGATTAACACATATGTATGTTTCTACTACTAGATTTGTTTTAATGGAATCTTAAATGGTAAATAAATGTAACAACTTCCATGCTGAATGATGTTTTTGTTGTTTCGTGTTGATTTCTACGAAATTAAACCAATTATAAATATATCAACTATTAGAATATATTTCGTTCCTTTTTTTTTTAATTACTATCGTATTAGCATGTCTATCGTCAACATAAATTACACGCCATTTCCATTTGGTTTAGAGATTCAGCGTTTAATATAGCCTACTTAATACTTTATGTTTATATTAGAACATTATGTACACTCCTGTCACATTAGAACGTGTAAGTGTTGTGGAATCTTACTAGATTCATTCATCAGTTTTACAGTAAAACATAATGTTTTTAATATATAAATTAGAAGAATGATGTTACATAAACATAAGTGATTTTTGGTAGTTTTAGAAACTTTAGATTCATTCATTATTAACTTTATAGTAAAATATAATGTTCTTACTGTAGTAATCATTTGAAGAATTAATTTATATATTGAATTTTGTAAAAAGAAATGATACAACGTTATATGTTTTAGTAAGTTTTGAAAACTCAGGTCCAAATAAAAAAAATGCACAAAATGTTAGAAAATTATACAACAAAAATACGTAAATTTTATACATTCTTTCAATTTACTTGACTCTTTTATCGTATAAACTCAATATAAATAATATTTTTATAAAGAAATGTAAAAATAAAAATAATTAACAATTTAATAATTGAAAAATAGAAATTGGTTTAAAATTGGGTTTTTGTAAGTTAAAAAGAAAATTCTTGTATATTTTCGTATAAAGGTTAGAAAACACTTGAAGATTTATATATTTGTTAAGAAGAATCTTTACAGTAGGGTGAAAAAAAATGTTTTAAAATAAAATGAATTTTTGTAAATTAATTTGATTCGAAACTATATTTCTTGTAAATCTACGTATAAAAGTTAGAAAACACATTTTTTTTTATAAAAATACATTATTTTTTTTGGGAAATAGAATTGTTACACTAATGATATCATTTTTAATTATTAATTATTGAAATAAAACAGATTTAGTATGAGAAAATTGAAATTTGTATAAAGGTTAGAAAACACAATTTCGAATAATGTTTAAATAAAAATTAATCGTAATTATCGCATTTATGTAAATTAATATAATTCGAAATTGCATTTATTGTAAATCTTCGTATAAAAGTTAGAAAACACGAAAATGTATATATTTGTGCAAAAAAAAATGGATTTTTGTAAAACACAATTATTTTTCATAAAAATACAAATAGAATTGTTACACTAATTTTTAATCATTAATTATTGAAATAAAATAGATTTAGTATGAGAAAAACGATTCGAAAATAGAAATTTGTATAAAGGTTAGAAAACATCATTTAGATTATTGTTTAAATAAAAAAAATTAAACTGATTTAATTAGTTATTTCATATTTTTGATTAATTAATTAATTTATTAACGAAATTCAACGTAGCAAGAAGCATTAAATTTTTTTACGTGTATTGTATGTGCTAAAAACATTAGAGCAAAATTTGAATATTGAGCGACTGAGGAGGGTTTCGAACCCCGGTTCCGGGGGGACGGATGGAAGGCGGAAGAGAGCGCGGGGGCGGCGGTTTTTGCGAAGGGGCGGCTGTAAAAATGTAACGGAATAGGTAGTGTACGGGATAGAGAGAGAGTGTGTTTGGCGGGGGTGGCGGCGGCAGCAGCGGCTACGGCGTTTTGTGTGCGTGCGTATATATATATGTGTGTACGTACAACAGTGTACAGCAGGGATGCTGGGGGAAAAATAAAGATGAAAACATTGCAGGTTTTATTACGATATTGATTATAAAATCAATAAAATATGGCCTGGCGAAACGAAAATGTGCGGGGGAAAAATAGTGGGCCCCCGCCGAATCGCAGCCGCCTCCGCGCGCGTATTTATTCTATGCCCGACGAGAAATTAAAATGTTCATGCGCGGGAGGCGGCGCCCGCACACCCCCACCCCTGTACACACACATACAGACACAACCAACACTGCGAAACGAGAAGAAGAACGTAATGATTTTTTGGGGTAAAATTTTAGTGGAAATGGGGAAGGGGGTTGTGCGCGCAGGGGTGGGGATTTCACTCATTAACCGACGACGACGCCGCCGCCGCCGCAGCGCGCGTAATATTGCATCTTGGATTCGCAAATTTCTTCTTTGTTTAGACTCTCTTTCTCTGTGTATGTGTTGTGTGTGTGTGTAAGTGTGTGCGTGTGCTTTTTACTTGCAAATGCGTGCGTGTGCGTGTGTCTGTGGCGGCAGAGCGCGGGAGGCGGCGTCGGAGGTGGGGGGGCGGCGCCGGACGGTGGTGTCCCACGGGTCTCGCGTCGGGTACGACCCTCCAGCGGAGAGCCGGGTCCGTGGGCCGGGTCGGAGGATCGGGCCGGATCGCGACGGGCCGTTTTTTATTTTGACATTTTTAATTGCGGGCCTGTACTCTTTATTCTGCGCATTTTCATTTGGAATAGGGGAGGGGTGGGCGGAACGCACTATTTTTTAGTGCTGGCTTATTACGGCAGATGTCTCATAGCTATGTCCCAATAAAGAATAAGCGAGCAGTCATTTTTTGCGCGTTTGAATTTTTAATATAAACGCAGTCGCGGGTTCGAGCTGATATGATACGGTGCTTTGTGCGGTGCGAGTGCGATCACAGCTTTTTTTATCATCATCAACACCACCACCAACAACAACCACCACTATTATCCTTTTTTCGCGACGCCGAAACCGAGCGGCAGCAACTAAGGAAGGACGACACCATCAACAACAAGCAACAAACAATATAAGAAAAGAAAAAATTGAATTTTTCAAGTTTACATTATCCATCAAATAATTGTACATTTCGGAACGGAGGATAATTTTTTTTTTCATTTTGTCCAACAAAAATAAAAACGGCTACGGGAATTCCGCAACCCCAATAATATTCGTACTTCTTTATTCTGAACACGCGAATACACACATCCGGCCTCCGAAGCAGGCGAAAATAAAGACTGGCCAGTTGCAGGACGAGAACCGAAAAAGAATAAACCAAGTATATTATAATACAAGTACGGCGATGCAGCTACGTTGAAGTGCAACACGTTTCTCACCCTGGGCAAACATTAGAACATGGATATACTTATTTCCCAAACAAATTTTGTTTTCGTACAACACTCGCTCCATTTCTAAGGTAAATAACAACTTCAACTATTCCTTTAATCCTAAATTTTTAATTAAATTCATTAAAAAATTTAAATTCAACTTTTTTGCACTTAAATTCAATTTTCAACTGAATTTTCAATTAAAGATTTATTTATAATTGTTTTATATTATAAATAAATCTTTAATTGAAAATACGTCCTCAATTAACTTTGGTTTATTCTAATTAAATAATTTCAATATAATTTTTAGTTATTTCCACACAAAAAAAACTATATAAAATTCAATAACAATCATTTATTTCATTATATTGTTTTTTTTATATATAAATGAATCACAGATGTCAATAACAATTTTAATATAAATCCTCAATTTCTAAGATTTCATTGGAATCTAAATTAAATAAAAGTTTCCTGGTTTTCCTATCATTTCGAAATTTCCCTCTAAATAATACAATTAATCAGTATTTCTCCACGTTTTTGTATGAAAATAATTCATAGATTTTAAAACAACAATTATAATACCTCTAATTAAATAATAAGTATTTTTTATATAATCCACAAATTGAATTATTAATTTGATTAATTTATTAGAAAAATTACTAGTAAATAACAACTATGCATTTCTTGTTTTGTTAAATGTTTCTTTTTTTATATACATTTTAAATTACTCGAAATTGGACTAATCTCTGTTATTTAATTTCTATTTGCGTAAATCCTAGACTATAAAAAAAAACAAATTTAAAAATTAATTTTCTAATTTTATATTTTATATAAAAAATAAACGGTAAATAACAATATTTTTCGGATTTTCCAAAACCCATGAAATAAACAACGATTAAATAACAATATAAATCGTAACAAAATAACAATGATTTACTTGTTGTTTTGATACAATCTGCGTATAAAAATATGATTTAGAAGCACCCAAATTATTGCAATGAAAACAACCTTGGATCTATGTTGCATCCAAAAGTACAATTCTTAAATAGCAATAATAGAATAGAAACATTCATAAATTAGTTTCGAATTGCAATTTAATCTTAATAATTATATATTAAAATTAATATTAGTTTTATTACGTAATCAATTTGAGCGTTTATGCAATAAAAAAACGGGTAAGAAAACCTATCCTTCCGAAGCCCTTGGTGCGTGCCTAATTAGGCGTGCGAGGGCAACGGTCGACGGCCCTTTTGGGCCGGGGAGTTCCAACAAATAACCGGAATTTACGGACTATCTCTCTCTCATTGGTAACAGGTATTAATAGACGCAAACCCTAGGAATTCGCGCCCGGTCCGGCCCTGCGCTCGACCGCCAAAACATCCATTATTTAAATTGCCAAAAAAAAAAACAATATAAATAAGCAACGTAAATAACAAAGACTGAAACAAAAAAAAAGAGAAATGAAACACCTCAACGAAACTTCTATTGATGCATTATTTTGCAACTTCGGTATTTGCATAATTTCGAGTCTACGTCAATTGTTTGTTCGGGATATGTGCATGCATTAATAATAATAATAATAAAAAAAAACAGTTCAAGTAAACTGAATTATACTTAACAAAGCAATTTGGATTTAGATTAACGTCATTTGTATTTGAAGACAATTGATTTCTACCCAATACAAGAAAAATATCTAATTGAACTTTTTTGTTTGTTTTATGAATGATTTGTTATTAATTCGAATATATAAACATGTTTTTGTGTCTCAGGCGTATTGTGAAATGAGAGAGAGAATTAGGGATACAAATTAATAATAACGTTCGTGCATTGAAATGTTTTTCGAGACGAAGTGTTTACTCGTCTTCAAAATATTTATGACATTTGTTTTCATCTGAAAATTAGGTTTCTCTTTAGAAGAAGAAGAAGAAGAAAAAAATACATTAACATATTAATACGTAATTAGTTACGTAAATACATTGAGGATGATCCAATTCGATGCAGACGCGTACGTGTAAATATACAAGAAGTGACAGGAATTAAAGTAAATAGTTGCAACGTTGTAATCTTTACATCATCTCGCTGATAAAAAAAAGTAAAGGTTTATTTTTATTTTATCTACTAATCGGCCAGAGACAATGCAATAGAATCGTCGCGAAATTATGTAATCCGGATGAAATCTTCGATAAAAAGTTTGTCAAATTTGTTGATATTTAATAGATCTAATTTGATCAGTTTTCTGGACTTGTAAATTTTTTATAATTATTACCTTTTATTGTTAATAACAACAACAGCAACATTAATAACGATGATCGTAAAGTACGAAATGTTTGTTATTAAATGTTTTTATTATCAACTATTTCATTTTTTTTTATCTGGAATTGGTGTTAGATAAAAAATGTGATGTGTGTGTATATAATGTATATATATATATTTAACTTGGCGGATGATAATAACCGTGTACGGATGGAATGATGCCCAGAGACAGCAAAACGTCGAGAGAGGAAAAAAAATCAATATTGTGTAACATATCAACATAATTACATAAGCTCGTGGCAACCGGCGAAACGGTTAGTAGCTTCGTCCGGACGATCAATTAGTCCATTCAATTAATCCTAGGCGGGATGGGCGGCATTGAAAATGATGGTCGGTGGTGAAAAAAAAAACAACAAAAACAAATAGAGTAGAAGAGGGAAAGGAGTGAAAAACAAAAGCGAAATTGGGGAAAATGAAAGCGAAGCAGGGAGAGGATATGGTAATGGGACGAAAATCGATTATGTACATATGTACGAGCGACGTGCGTATATTTTTTTTTCTAACCCCCTCCGGTTATGCAACACTATGCGCGCATTTCCGTTCACAAAAAAAAATTATATAATTTGTTATAATTACAATTTAATTTGATTATTAGATTTTTTGTTTTATACAATAATATTTCATAATTTATATAATAAACAATTAAAAAATATTGTTTTAGTGAATATTAAGCATATATTTTTATTTTACAAGAACGAAAAACTAGAATCTTGTAATAATTATGTTATTTTTTTAAATATTAAATAATTTGAAAAAACAACTAATAGTTAATATAAAATTACGTAAAATGAAAAGGAGACTTTCAAGAATAAAAATATCACTCTGTTATAACGAAGACAAATTGCATGTATAAGATTCAAAAGTTTTTCTTTTTGGATTGAAAGCTTTTAAGAAATTGAAGTGATTTTTCAGGAAAAAAAAATGGTTTTAGGCAACCAACTGGGCAAAGGATTTCGTCCATCTACTTCTATATATATTTATTTTTTTTCGTTGCACGTATATTTTCGGCATTTATTTCGAGATCTGGGTTATTCGCAACGACGTCGTAGATGGGAAGCCGGGGGTATTAAGGTTTATTTTTCTGCATTGTGCGAGAGAGCGCCACCCACCAGCCGCATTTTTCAACATATTAATCATTAATTTATACGCATTGTTCGTGGGCCTGCTTTGCATTTCGGTGGCGGTGGAAACGAGAAGTGCAAGGAAACGATTATGGAATGAAATGGAAGCATGAAAAGAAAATGGAAGTGTTGGTAAAATGAGGAAGAGGTGGATGGATGGAAGATGGAGAAAAAAAAACGTGAATAAAAATGGAGAAAGAGAGGAAACGTGCGGGAATAATGTATCGAATGATTTCGTTAGCTGATGCGTCGTTGATTTGCCATTGACCGTCGAGGTCGCGGCCCGGCGTCGCGACGCACCCCCGCACGCAGCGTCGGAGTTTTCCCTTTCCGCGCAATGTGTATACTATATATATATATATATATATAGATGTATATATACATATATATATACACGCACCCACACAGATATATATTTTTCGCGGCCATATTTTCGCATCCCCCCCACCGGCGCGTTCTAATAGCCAATGAATATGTTTTTTCGTCTCTTCATGCAGCGCGAATTTTATTTTTAATGATTGAAAGAGGGCCGCGCGGCAACGACGTCTGCAGTTTTCCGCCGCTTCCGTTTCCGGTCGACGGCGCCGTCCGCGTGCTTCCAGTGTTCCGTGCCGCCACTTTTCGTTTCGTTTTTCACCCATTTTTTCCGCTGCTCTTGTGCTTTTTTTGTGTGCTTCTTATTTCGAGTTTTCCGCGGCTTTTCGCGCGCATTCATCGAGATCTTCTCGCGCACCGCCCGAGACGATCTATTACGATTATATATATTTTTTTTTCTCTCAACTTCATCGACTGTTTATACATACAAACAGAGACCAAGTGGAACATTATCATCGCTCCATATGCAAATCGCCATAAACAATATGTATAGTTTATCGAGTACAGTTACGACGAGTCGGTGCTAAAACAAGTGCCCCTTTCCAAACTACCTTCATCTATTTTGGACTAATCATTACCTCAACTATGGGTAACTATTTCAAGAAACTTTTTTTTTCTTGCGAACCTGTCACTTTCGAAACTCCCGCTCGCCGCAAACGTTTGACAGGTGTCAAATTCAAATTTGTAACAAATTCATCCAATTTAGTTAATTTCCATACTAATAGTATAATTGCCATTTCATTGATTCATTTTTTAAACAATTTCTTTAACAATTTTAAATTAATTATCTAATAAATTCCTATTTCAAGTCAATTCTTCTTTTTTTTATGATTTTATTTTACAATGAGCACATAAATCCTAATCATAAACTAAACTATATACAATTAATTGATTTACATAAGATAAAGCAACAATTATTTCAAATTATATAATTAAAATAGAAAATGATAATTTTATGTTAGTAGATTTATACTCGTGTTAACATTATTGTGGATGCGCCGGGTAACATTAGAAACTGCATAGAAATTTCAACGCGTTCGAATAGAATTAAAACTGAGTTATCATTGAATAATTATTTTTACAAAATATAATTCTAATTTGTAATAACTATTACAAAACGCTATTGATCATTGATTTTATAATATTTTTTTAAATTTTAAATCTTTCGTTCGGCCAATTTTTTTTAAATATAACAGAAATATGTACTTTTTTATGTAATAATTATGTTTTGTATTGAAATATTTCAATCAATTAATATTTGAAATAAGAATTGTGTTAATTACTTTGATTGTGGTTAAGAAGATTATTTGAATATTTACCATTGGCTGTACGGGTTTAATCAAATGCAAACAGTGTTGGGAAATGATGCTTTTAAGTGTGCAAATAGTGCCGAATATTGATGGTAGAAATTAAAGACGTGTTAATTTTCTCGCTAAAAATGGAACCTGTTGGTTTTGGAATGGAACGAGGGTCCAGAAATATAAAGAGGCCAAAGCAAATACTCGCATGCAAAAAAAAAGAATAAAGTCAAGAGAAGAATCCGAAGAACAATAATAAAAAGTGAAAATGTGTTTATTCGGTGCAAATGAAAGAATCTATTTTCGTTGAAGGATGAGAAAAAGAAGATACGAAGAAAGAAAGAGATGATGATGGTCGTCTAGCGAACGAAATGTGTATGATTCGTGTTATTGGAATTTCGCGAAAATATGTTTACATTAAGTTTATTCTGTGTGAAGTTTAATGGAAAATTCGAGCGAGAGAAATAACAATATTTTATTTACGTTATGTTTTTGTTTCGTTTCTTCGGTTGCAGGTAATTAACGTTAACGATGGTAGATACACAACATTTCTGTCTACGTTGGAACAACTACCAGAGTAGTATAACATCGGCGTTCGAGAATCTGAGGGACGATGAGGACTTCGTCGACGTCACCTTGGCCTGCGACGGGAAGAGCCTGAAGGCGCATCGGGTCGTCCTGTCAGCCTGCAGTCCATATTTCAGAGAATTACTTAAGGTAACAACAAAACTATTCTTACTATACAATTCTAATCAAAATCCCGACATTTTGATACTGTCGAGATGTTAGTTGTCGGGATTTCAATTTATACAATAATTCAATTTTCAAAATAAAAATTCAGTTATTACGTCATTGTTAGAAAAAAATAAGTAAATAAAAATAAGTGCGAACAGGAAACTGGCTCTCAGAGATTACGAGATTATCAGGTTCAATTATCGTACGTTTGTGGCTTTATGTGAAAGGAAACTATAAATATTTTCGGCTGATTGCGGAGCGCAATGCATAAAATGTTAACATCTCGAGGAAAAAGGTCAAAGTGTTTGTACTGATAACGATCCGTCTATGCACGCTGAAGTATTAATCTATGCTCAATTAGACTATCAATTTGACTAGAACCGCGCGTTGCATGCGCGTATATTACAAACGTTTGCAAGTCGTTATGCTGTAATTATAAACTATTAATATTAACATTATCTTTCTAATTTACATTTTCATCAATCAGTCTTTATTAAACAAGAACAAACATTTTATCAAAATTATAACAAAAACTCAGTTTTCTTGTGAAAAAAATAATTGTTAAATAACGAGAACATCAAAGAGAAACTGCAGAAGCCAAATTTTCTTTCAATTATCGCAGCTTTGTTTCAAGAACAAGGAACAATACGTGCGTTTACTCATATGATTAATCAGCATTTGCATTGAAGGTTAAACATGATGACACGCTTTACTTTTAACTGCATATTAGAAACTTAATATTAAGTCCATATCTAATCATAAAAAAAAATTAACAGACTTAGTAGATGATATTCATAAAAAAAAAATGTAGTTACTTTTCAAATTAATTGTCAAGTACTAACATATGTTGAGTATTTGAACGGCAACGAACGTGTATATTGTGTGATGCTCATATTATGTAGTTTGGTAGCGTTTCCACAGATCGATTCTGTGCAACAGGTTCGGGTTTAGCGCTGCAAATTGTTTGTTGTTTTTATTTTATTTTTTCAAATAAATTCTCTGAAAATTGTGGTAATTCTTTCAACAAAATTGTAACTGAATGTTTTTTTTTTCTTATCTTTTTACAGTCAACCCCTTGTAAGCATCCTGTGATAGTCCTTCAAGACGTAGCCTGGACAGACCTGCACGCACTCGTGGAATTCATATACCATGGGGAGGTCAACGTGCACCAGAGATCACTCTCGTCCTTCCTCAAAACTGCGGAGGTCCTGCGGGTCAGCGGCCTCACGCAGAAACACGCAGATGACAGAGAGGTGCGTGCATCATCCTGCAAAAAAAAATCTATTGATAATTTCGATTTTGACTAATGTTTTTTTTTTTCTTTCGAATTTGTAGCTAGCGCATGTACAAAGTCTGGTCAGGGCCCAGCAGCAGACGCCTTCGTCGAATCACCATCCGGCATTCCCCGATAAACTTATGGACGAGTCGATCTTCACGTCGCCGTCGTCGCCGCCTCACAGCGCGACGACCGTGAATCAGCTGCTCCGGAGGGCGGCGATGCAGAACCGCAGGGACAGAAGGATAAGCCAGGATCCTGAGGGCGACCACAAGCGATCACGGAACGAACACTTGAACAACAACAACAACGAGCTGAACCTGTCCCACCATCAGCCGCCGCAGACGCAACCGACAGATTTCTCGCCGACGGCGATGAAGAATAACGTAAATCCTATACTGAATTCTATCAAAACGGACATCGAGGGTAACGGGATCAGCTCGACGGAGCACGGTTCGAGTCCCAGCTCCCCATCGCCCACGAATAATTCGAGGGATGAGATCAAGACAGAACCGATGGATCTGCTATGCACGACGAACCAGGATGAGAACAGTAACGATTCCAATGAGGCGGCTAACGATAACGGGCCTAATCTGCCGCAAGGACCCCATTCTGGGAGCAGCGGCGGCGGCGGTGACCACGACGACCACGACAGCCCCATCGGACCTTACCTCACACCCAATGAGAGCAAACTGTTTGCCACCGCCGCCGGCAGCTACAACTTCAGCATGGCCACCCTCGCTGATCCAGCTGCATTGGGAGGTTCGTAGACTTTCCCTTTTTCATATTAGATTAGCGCACTAACCTACTCCTTCTCTCGAGCACTCACAATTTCTTCACTCCTTTTTACCCCAACAAAGGATACAAACTTCTATTGCAGGGATGGCCAAACTTTTGATCACTACCAACATCGTGATCATAAGAAAAGTAACAATTTAAAGCCAATGTGTGTACACATCAGACATGCGGGCACTTTGTCCACCCCTGTTCTATTGAGTATTAATATAAGTTCTGTCCATTTTCCAAATTAAGAGGACAAGAGGTCACAGCAACAGAAAATTACAACAAATTAATCACTGTATTATCCTTTATAGCTGTCTATTCATTAATAACATCATCACCGTACACTACGCAAATATCGGGAACAGCTTTGGATGCTTTATTCCCTTGATTGCACGCGAACCGAAGAATATGTCGAAAGTACTCACTTTTGGCGCGGATTTTTAAAATTGAAAAAAGTGGACCTAATACATAGGTTAATACAAAGACAACACATTCATTCAGTATTAACTGATTTTGAAAAATAAAAATCATTACTTAACAAAAACATAAATTATAACACAATATCATAAACTTTTCAACTTGAAATTTAAGCATGTAAGAACTTGTATGTCGTGTAAATTATTATTGATTTTCCTATTATTAAATTATAAATTATTTGCTACTTAATTTTATGGTAGCAAATGTAATGTCTTCTACTATGAAGTACCTAGTTGATTTTTAAAATTTATTCAATTGGAATAAATATAATAACAATATTATTGATTATATAAGATGTATATAAATCTAATATGAAGATTGGAATAGGTCATTATTCAATTGTGAATGAAAATGTTTAATTAGCTGTGGAGTGTTTCCGAGTCGTTGGTTATTTTCTAAATGCGTTTGGACGACAGTTTAGCGCGTAATTAATTAGAGATGAGAGATGTAATTGCGAGCGTTATTTCGAGTACGTGTGCTTCGTGCAGCCACACGAAGAAGAGGCGGCACGTCGAGAAAAGAGACGACCAAAAGCAAGAGTACTTAGCTAGTAGTAGTAGTAGTAGTTGCAACTCACCTTGGGTTAGGTCAGTTGTGTTTGAGTAGTCGCGGAGCGCGGTTCTATAGAATCCTGCCTGCACTCAGTTTTCACTCTCACGTCCGTTGGAAGAGTGGAAAAGTGAAAAGAAAAGCGAAAAACCTATGACGAAAAAATCGATTTTTGCCATCCGACAAAAGCTCAAGATCAACTCTTAATAGAACAATAATTAAGAAAACTAATAAACAAAAGAGTGAAGTAGTAGATGAAGATTCCTCGCTTTATATTATATTAACAAATCTCGTAGAAGCCTATCTCTAATTGGTGATGGTCTATTACTATTATTATAACTCCTCTCTAAGTAGAATTTGTCTCACCCACCACTGCGGGACCATCAATTTATTAGGGACGGGCAGTTAACTTGACGCAACCGGTTGACTGCTTTCTAACAATCAGTGTTCTTCCTTCCAGGTCTCGGACAGTCGTTCCAAGGAGGAGACAGCCTGGCGGGAACATCTCAAGGTAAGAATTTTCAACTACTCCGTACTTATTTAACCACTATTTATTTTCGTTTTATTATTTAATGTTTGACATTTACAAAAAAAAAAACCAAAAAAAAAAAGAAAAAAAAAGAGAAAAAAAGAAAACAAAACAAAAAAAATACCCCACCGCCAGAAAAAATTGAAACCCCGCCCCCCCTCTCGAAACCCGCCACCACCACCCCCCCAAAATTTACCACCACCAACAAAAAAAAAAAAAAAAGATAAGCAAGTTCAAATTTTTTTATTTTTGATTGTTTTGTCCGAAAGCTGCCCTCAAAACAAAGAAAATAAAGAAAAGCTCTCCGACGATCTCCAAAATAAAAAAATAAATAAACAAGTGACTTTGGGAGCTGCAAGGAGGAAATGCGAAGGAAACGCGATCAATTTTATTTGTTAACAACAACAAGACAAAATAATCACTTTTATAACGAGAAACTCCCACGCATTCCCTCCGCAGTTTAGAATCACTTTATGTGTATTTTTTTTTTTTTTTGGAATGTTGTTTTTTTTTAATTTATTTAACAATTGTGTTGTGTTGTATAAGTTTTGTCCCTGGTCTGTTTTTGTGTTCGTTTGTTTTTTTATTTATTTATCTTTAAAAAAAAAGTATATTTTTTAATTTTTCTACTTATCATTAATTTAATTTACTATATTTTTTTTTCTTTCGATATATATATATATATATTTCGGACTTTGACGCAAAATTTTTGGGGAAGCCAATTGTTTTACGGAAGAGCGCAAAAGACTCGAACCGAAAAAAGAGCCACCATTTTTAGTCGCGATCATTTATTTCTCTATCAGTTTCTTGTTTCAACTACTTTCATATTTTGATGATTTTATTTTTCATTTATTTTCGTTTGTTGTCGTTTCGGGAAAAGGAGGAGAAAATTGCATGCGAATTATTATTATTATAATTATTATCACTACAACAACAAACACATCTGCGGCCTACGTCATTCTTGATCTCAAACTTTCTTTTGATCAAAGCCAAGAGTAGACAGTGAACAAGTAGAGCAAATTGACGCCCAAGTTGTGCAATGAAATAAAAAATATATAATTTGAATATAAATCTGCAGAGAGAGAGGAAAAAGACATACTGACATGCGGTATTCTCTTATTCTTAATCCAATTATTTATTATTATTATTATTTCTTCATCATTTCAAAAACATTTGGAAGAAATTTTCAGTCTCGATTGAATACGAAATATTTAAATAAAAAAAAACGCCGAAATTTTATATACATTTAATTAATTTTTTTACTTTGTTTTCTTTGGATGAACCAAAACTAGCCTATACATTTTGTTTAGCTTACATAAAGAGCGATTTAATAAAGAAAGAAAAAAACACCTTGTAAATAAAGAATATTTTCGGATCGTTTGCAAAGAGAAAATCAAAACTATAATAAATTTTAAACATTCAGAATTGTTAAAAGAAATAAATTTGAACGAATTGAAAGTATTCTTTATAACTGTATTTTTTAAGATATTTTATATATATATTGTAGCGAACGTTAATTGTAGGGGGATGAAATATTTATTTCTGTTTATTATTACTATTTATTTTTTTTATTATTATTTTCTTTTTATATATTTATTTATTTATCTGGTTTAGCCTCTTTATTTTATATTTACATATCAATATTTATATATATTTATTTTTAACATATATAAATATGCACACAAAATGGAAACATAAAAAAATTGTCGTTTCAACTCAACAACCTATCATTATTACTATGATACAATAATTACACACAAAAACTAGCCAAGGATTTAAAACTTTCTTTAAAGTATATGTGAGTGAGAGTCGTGATTAATTCTTTCTTTTTTTTTTGTTTTATTTTTTTCTTTTCTTTTTTTTTTGACAACATTAACTTTTAATTTTACTTATTATTTGTTACTATTATATATTATTACTATTATTATTATTTTTTTTGGGCTTGGAGTATTTTATTTATTTTTTTTTTGAGCGATTGTTTGTTGAGATGGAATACAATTTTTTTATCGATAAATTTTGAACGCAATTCAATTATTATTTACTTACATATTTTTTTTTTTTTGGAAAAAGTTATGTTTTTACTCGAAGTGTTTCATCACAATAAATTCTTGCTTTCACTTAATCAATCTCGCTTTAACGCTTCTTATTTATCTTTTTTTGTTTTTCAAATTTATAAATCACTTATTTCAGTTTAAAAAGATTTCATTCAGTCACGAAAAGATTACGTATAAAAGCATGATTCTTACAAAAAAAAAATTGGGATGTTTTTTTTTTCTAATTGTTTATTGTAAATAACACTTGTTTCAATTATGTTTATTATTTTTTTAATTTATTAATATTTGGTTTATGTGAGCGCCTGGGGGATTTTGATTAGTTTTGTACATACGAGTTGAGAGCTTTGTTGGATTCGGATTGTTATTTATTATATTTATATGAACGATATTTGTTGATTTAGTATACGAATTATTATTTTTGAAAATTTTGCTTTAAAAAAAAATATCAAATGTAATATAATAAAACACACACAACACCAAAAAAAAAATTATTATTATTATATATATATATTATAATATAAAAGAAAAGAATGAGAAATTGAGAGCGGTTTTGCCGTTTAGGTGCGGACGAGTTCAGATGCCAACCATGCAACAAGAGTCTGTCGTCTCTGACCCGACTGAAGAGACACATTCAGAATGTCCACATGAGGCCATCTAGAGAGCCAGTTTGCAACATTTGCAAGAGAGTCTACAGTAGTCTAAACTCGTTGCGAAATCATAAGAGTATTTATCACAGAAACGTCAAGAATGTCAAGACGGACGACATTATCCCGCAGCACCACTCGTTTTTCTTGTGAACGGCGGAGGCGTCGTCGTGACCTTCTCAATTTCTGGACTCGAAGCGACCTAACGCGACTCAAACAATACAGAACAAGAGAAACAAACTAAAACTGTCCACGAAGCCCATAGGAGATCAACGTTTTGTTAATCATCTCCATCATTATTATTATTATTTTTTTTACTGAGGGCTTCGTACAAACGTCCCGCGAGAAGAGTAACCTTCTCATGTACAGTAGTAGTTTTGATCGAAGATCGCACTTCTTCGACATGCAAAAAAAAAACAACTCCGCTTTTACACTTTCTTTTCTTATAAATATATAAACTATATGATTACTTTTAACGATTTGTTTTTTACGAAAAAAAAAAGGGATGAAAGGGAATTGTTTTTTTTTTTCTCAATAGTTTTAATCAGTAATTTAAACGACCCACTTTTATTATTATTATAATTATAATTAACGGATTTCAACCATAATACACAGAAGAATGTAGTATAAGACATGCTTGACTTGAAACGAATTAATTCAGACAGAATTTTTCATTATTGAGCTGGACAACGAAGATGCACACTCAATTCTCTTATATAATTTCAATCCATTCCGTCTCTAATTCTTATTATTATTATTATGATTTCGTTCTTGTACCTCCACATACACACACATACCTAATCTATCTTTATACATATATTTATATATTATTATCCAATGTTTTATTTTTCTATATATTTTATACGTTTTTTTTTATCTCTTATTATTTTTATTTTATTATTATTTTTTTTTTGATTATTATTATTATGATTACATATATTATTATTATTATTATTTTTGCTTTGTGGTATTGGTCGTAAGTGAGTGTCTAAAGCTCTACTTGTTAAAAGATTAAGACCTAAGGGCTAATTAGGGTTATTGTTCCCGGTGTGCCAGTGAGAAGGATCAGTCTGCCTCTCCCTCTGTCGGCCAGCCATCGTTGCGACGTCTGTGGGAAACTCCTGAGCACCAAACTCACATTGAAAAGACACAAGGAGCAACAACATCTCCAACCCCTCAACAATGCAGTGTGTACTCTGTGCCACAAGGTCTTTAGGACATTAAATTCTTTAAACAATCACAGAAGCATTTACCACAGGAGGCAAAAGTAACAAAAATCAATATTATATAATTCTTAACACACCTACTACTATTCTATATATATACATCCTCTGCGCAGCGGAACAAGGAAAAAGTTTTGTTTTCTCTACACAAAAAAAAACCCTTTAACTTTAATTTTCACCCACCCAAATTTTTATTTTCTTTATATATTATTATTATTATTTTTTAATTCAATTCAAAAACTTTTTCCTCGCGCTTTTGTAAATAAACAAATATTCGAGTCCAGGCAAGAAAAAAAAAATAATTAAAATCACATATTACATAATATTTAGCGAAAACCCCCTAAACTACAATTTTAATTAATCAATCAATCAATAATCGTCAAGCTGTCTGATATTACAAGTAAACTCAGCCCCCTCAAAAAAAACCTCCCCTAATCACAATTAAGACAAAAAAAAACGGATGATTTGATTGCAATTGTGCAACTTCAATCCGTTTATAACAAAGAAAAAAACACACGATGAATGAATATATTGTGTTTAATGTAATAAACGAAACTGGATAAAAAAAAACACACACACACTAAATATTAATTATTATTATTATTATATAGAAGATGAGAAAAAGCATATTAATATATTATTTGTTTCAATTAATTTGTAAGCTGTATAATCGACATATTAATTATATCTAATCCAAGATTTTTTTTTTCCATTTTTTTTTTATAATCTATATACTTCTTTGACTTAATTTTTAAGCGTCTATTATATATATATATTTGTTAATTGTTCTCGCGAACGGCGTCGTCGGATCTCTTAAGAAAATGATGTGCGCTTGAGAAACCGACAGAGAGTAAAAAAAAAACCATAATTATTATGAGAGAAAAACAAGCTCAAAAGCTTTAAGAAAATTTTTATATTTATAGATATATTATATATTATATATATACATACATATTTAAGGATTAAGGCATTTAATTTTTTTTTTATTAATTATATCTTAGTTATTCTTTTTTTTTTTCTGAAAGGAAAGTTTACGTTTCTTTGCAAGTGGCCAATTGTTTAACCCAAATAAAAAGAAAAACCAAAATTGAAGCCAAAACGGTTTTCTTTTTTTTTTGTAGAACGAAAAGACTTGATTTTTTTAGGTGATGCGTGCGTTTTTCCCAAACTTTTTTTGGATACGCGCTGAAAAATATATATTTATAGAAGTACTTTATTTTTTACGTGATTATTATTATATATATATATAAATATTATTATTAATTATTTTATTTTACATTTTTTTTTGTAAATTCGTGCGGAAATTACGTGCAATTGCGACTTATATTTTTTGGGACTCTGTGATATGACGAAAAGTTAATTAAAGAAGTAAAGAGAAGAAAAAAAACGTTAATTATTAGGCCAATTAGGAAAGAAAGGCTAAAACTTGCGTAACTTGTAAAGCGAAACTAAATTTTTCTTACACTACATATTTGTTTTTTTTTTTTTAAATTTTCGTGTGTGTGGTCGAAGGGATTTGCGTATTTCTTCGCTTGCATTATATAATTTTATTTTATTTTTTTGATAATTATTTAACAAAAAAAAAAGAATCCTAAGCTCCAAGTGCGGCCCTATTGGCAATTCTTGCAAATTGTTCTTGTTCTTTCGGCCTTCGCAATGTGCAATTTTAGTTGACTTATTTCTGGAACTCTGTGATAAAAAAAACAATTAAACATATTAATAATGAACGAAGAGCCGGAGCGAGGGAAATTCTTACAAACAATAAAAAATTCAAATAAAAAAAATGCATCGAAAATAAATACGCAACTTTCTTCGGTGTAAATATAAATATATTTTTTTTTATTATTATTATTACAATTTGTTAACAGCGATTTCGCTCGTATTTAATTTATATAATTAATATATATATAAATAAATATATATTATATGATTTAATCGGTGAAGGATTTCTTCCAGTAATTTTATTTAAAAAAAAATCGATATACGAGAAAAAGCAAAAAAAAAACACGCAAAAATCAATTAATGTTATTATTATTATTACATATAAAATATATATATTTATTATTTTGTTTTTATTTTCTTTCTTTCTTTCTTCTTAATTATTATATTGCATTATTATTATTATTTTGTGCGAAAGTTGATCGAAAAAGAAGAAAAAAAAAACTTATTACGAGAGGGCAGGACTATTTTAATTTGTTTATTATATATTATTATTATTATTTAATATTATTATTATTTTGAACTTTCTGAAAGACTGATTGTTATTGTATAATTATAATTATTTCTGTTTAAATGATTTGTAAAAAAAAAATAACGGCAACCAAGAAAATAATAAAACTTTTATGCAAAAAAAAAGTTGCGGCTTTTTCCCATTTCGAAAAACTTTTTTTGTAATTGTTGCAAGAGTTTTTTTTTAAATCAAGTGTCCTAGCGTATGGGGGCTCTTGCAGCAAAACCGGCGAGAAAGGGGAAAATGCACGGAAAATTTAGACGGACGGTTCTTTTTCCTTTACGAATATCGTTTTCTTTTTGTTGTTGAAACGGAAACATTTTTGAAAAATTGTAAAAAGAAAATTCGTAAAGCGAAGAGTCGTTCTTCGTTTAATAATAATATGTATAGCTAACAAAAAAAACAGAAAAAAAAATGTTATTTGAAAAGTATTCATTAAGACTGATAATTTCGGACTGATTGGTGTAAAAATTAGGCGAATTGGCAACCAAAAAAAAAAGGAAGAAAGAAAACCTTCTTTGAGAAAAGAGTAACTGAAATTTTAATTAAACTGAACCCTAATTTGAAGAGGAATAAAAAGAAAGCATAGAATATATATATATTAAAAAAAACGTCCTGTGTAGAGAGAATTTCCTTCTTCTAAATATATATATTACTCTACTTTTGATTTAATTAACTACTTTAACTATCTACAACTTTTTTTTTTAATTTCATTTTTTTTTAATCCCACTCTTTTATTTTGTCTCTTATTATTCTTATTATTATTTTATCTAGTTGCGTATGAGCATGTCATGTGTTGTTGTTTGATGCAATATATGATGACGATGATGATGGATTTTTTTTTAAATGTACTTGTTGTATTTATGTTCAAATATATTTTTACATTGGCGAGCAGCTTGGGTTTTATTTTGCTTGTTGTTTCTTCCCTCTATAAGAATTATTATTTATTTATTTATTTTTTTTTATATATAACTTGTGTGATTTCTATAAACTATTATTTATTGTTTTTTACATAGTTTCTTCAAAGATCAAAAGAAGTTTTTGAAACAGAAACCAAACCAAAACCCCCTATTTTTTAACTGCTATGTTTTACCAAAACGACCACCCAAAGTACCAACAACCCTTCAAAAAAACAACCGAAAAAAACCACAAAAACCCCCGACCCCCCCATAAATTAATCTTTTTTGTCTTTATGTATGACCACCAATTATTTTATTTTTTTTTTATTATTTTGTGATTTTTTGTTTTGTTTTATTTTGTCTGATTTTATTTTTTTTTTAATTTTTTATTTTTTCTACTATTATTATTATTTTTTTTTCTTAATGATCGGTCGCGGAGAGTTGCCACCACTTGCGTTCGTAAACGTCAACCCCCCCGCATCGCAGGGGCTGCGAAACAATCAGCGCCCCCCCACAAAACTCGCACCTCTTGGGAGCGCCTCCATCTGTACTACTACTAATTTCGCATTCTTAATTTTTTTTTTTCGTTTTTAATTTGTTTACCTATTTTATATATTTTTGTTTTTGTTTTATGACACACCAATTTTTGTTTTTGTTTCGCTTTTCGCTCAATTAATCTCGCATTCTCTCTCTCTCTATTTATACATTTTTTTTTTGTGTTTGTTTCTCCGATTTCATCCCGGCGGGCGAAAATCCAAAATTTTCATTTTCATGCGCTGAATTGGCTTCTGTCACATTTCACTCGACATTTCAAAAAAAAAATCGAAGGAAAAAAAAGTAGGAATTTGCTGGAAAAAATTGACTTCACTCAATCAATGAATTTAATATTTATTAATGTAAACAAATTAAATTTCCAGCAAATTCCTAATTTTCGCTTTGCGGGAAACTAAAAAAAAACGGCGAGAAAAAGGTCGTTGGAATTAAGAATACCTGTGGAAACATTACAATCAATTCTTACAAACAAAGAAATCTTAAGTTAATCATAATTTATAGGAATAGTTGCAATAATCAAATTATAGAGTTTTTTTGTTT